TTTCATGTAATATATATATATATATATATATATATATATTATATTTTTAAATAAATTGTCTCCATTATTAATACAAGATCCTAATCTCGTAAAAATAAATTAAAAATGTTTTATATATAAGTAAACAACATTTTTTTAGATGATGCTAAAAGTTCTTTTCGTCGTAGTCCGTTAGGGTCTGAGTAGTCAGTCACAACTATAACTTAGCCAATTAAAGCTTTAGGGCTTAGGGCTTGTTTATTACACAAGATAACGCTTGATAGGGTAACTAGTTAACTCTTGTCTTGTGTATGGAGTGCATAACAAAGAAAAAAAAACATAATTTGGTCATTTACTCTTTTCAGGGCACTTGTACTCTCTTTAAGACATGCACCATTTAGCAATGACACCCCCTACTGTAACCATTATTGCACCTCTTTTTTTTCTCTAGATTTGTTGCCCGTTTTTGTTACCCAGAAGCTTCCATCCTCTGATCATTAGACAAACATGGTTGTCGCAATCGTCATACTTGGAATACATTTTAGAGAGAGCAGGCAACTTCGAACTTCTACCACACATTTTATACCATGCATTTATTCATAATCATATCCAAAAATTCAATGGATCTATTATTTAATTATATATTGTTCCAAAAATGTTTAGGTGCAAGTTTTAGACTAAAACCCTCATCTCTAAATTATCCAGGAAATACGAGCAACAAACAACTGTTTGAGACTATCTCCGTTAAACACATGTTTTAGATCAACATTGCACATAATATGGCGTTTTTTTACTAGTGGGGTGACCACTCCGTGTGTATCATCAATTAATTTACATTTTCGTAAATAAAAATATTTGCTTAAAAAGATTCAAATAAAGTCTCGTTTAATATGTTTATATATGAATCAATTTATTTTATATATGTGTGTTTATACACTTTTTTTAATATATTTTTTATCAGAAAAATATAATATTATTAAGAACAAAGAAAAAAAGGTACAAGAGACATTCAATTCATACAACCTGTGTAACAGTGCAAGGAATTCAAACACAAAAGCATTTATCGTTTTTTCCCCATACAAATTGCTACAATCTAAAGTAAGCAATATACAAGCCGCAATTCAACACTCCCTAAATTGATATCGTTATTCGACAATACAGTAGAATTCTAATTAGGTTCGGACATTTAATAAGGCAATTAAGACTAATACTTAAAGTTCTGAAAATTTATAAGGCCTCCAAATTTTTTTAACAGTAGTATTATTGATATAAATTAATTTTAAAAAATTAATAATATTTGATATAAGACCCAATATTTTATAAGACGCATATCTTGCATTTTTTATATCTCTTATTTTTTTATTATTAAAATTACTTGAAAACGTTAAAGTCATAAAGTTTCAAGCACAAAAAATAAGAGATACACTTGTTCAATTATCTAAAACTAGTGAAGATCCTAAGATAGAGTGAAGCCATGTGTTTAGCGACTTATGAGATGGAGAATTTTATATTTTTATTAGGAATGAATATTTGGTATGATATATTTTTTACGGTTAATTCTAAACATATGTATATAGATGTTGCTATAGATCACTTAAGAGGTGTTATAACTTATTTAAAAAATTATAGGGAAAATGGTTTTGCATCTACATTAGAATCCACCAAAAAAATGACTATTGAAATGGATATAGAGTCTAAGTTCAATGAAAAACATAAGATTCATAGGAAAAAATATTTTGATGATATTGATAGTGATGAAATGACTCATTTTACTGAAGATTCTTTTTGTATTGATTATTTTTTGTATATATTACATCAATCTATTTCTTCTATATGAGAGTCGATTTGAACAATTTTTAGAATATGAAAACATGTTTGGTTTTTTATTTGATTCAAATAAATTTAAAACTTTAAGGGAAGAAGAATTGATTAAATATTGTATCAATCTTGAAAAGATTTTGATTTTTGA